CGCAAGTGCAGTCATGGGTACTATTGCCATTAGTGTCGCGCATCGATCATGAGCAGCTGCAGCGCACGTTTTCCTTGTTTTCGCCAGACTCTGAGAAACCAAACAGTGGTATTCAGCAAGATGCACGAAGGACTGGACCTTAGACCAACCCACGTGCTACTTAAGGTTTAAGGTGCCGGCCGATCATTTCGATCTCGCCGTCCCACTTTCCACCTCTCATATGCACTTTCTTCCTGACAATGCTTTGGCCATTGGTAAACTCCTGATGAGAAGGTAAACTTCGGATAAGGTCAATCAATTGCTACGAATACTACAAAGTATCGTCTTGTTCATCTCTGTTATCGACGCGCGTGGCAGGGCAAACTTGAGAGTTCAGGAGTAACTTTCCATTTACCCTGGTAAGTACCCGGGCAAGACTTTGGCTGATCTGCGGGCCTTGCTCCTACCGCTCGAACTTACCGGCCACGGACCCGCTGCGCTCTTTCTAACAACCTTGATTGGTGAGGTGTCCGCAGTCCACCATGACTCACCCCAACACACCTGACCAATCAGGCGCCAGTCCGTTCTCAAGGAAGGCGTCGATCACTTTCTAAAATTGCCATGTGGCGCAAGACCCACTGTCGATGTAACATCCTGGACCAGGAGCCATGGAACTTCATCCTTGACCAGACTTACAAACTAGCTCTAGAAACTTGTCTTTATCTTCTCATTTGATATTGATAGCGAGCTAGTGTACATACGCTGCCCATAATATGTTCTCTGCGAGCGCATAGATAAGACACCTGATAGCTGGGAATAAAGTTATGTCTCAAGAACATTCTCAATTGCTAATGTATCATGGCCTGCCTGACCTAAATCTCTATCTCATAATTGCCCTTCGCACATGTTTGGAGCAGGAATGTGACTTGCATCGTGGCACGCGGGCTTAAGGCAACCGAGTTCTGACGGTCGCAAATTGCTTTCTCACTCGAGGTAACGCAGTGATTCCATCGACACCTCACATTTTTTGTTCAAACGAAGCCGAGTTACTCGATCAGCTCGATATTGAAAGTCTTCACGGCATGCGAAAGATTGGATTGACCCCTTGATCTCGATCGACCCTGACTTTGGACCGCGAGAGCAGACACTTGTGGATCTTGACGTTGTTGGGCTGATCGCAGGCATGGAGCTTCGCAGCCAACATGAGGGGCGTCTCTCCCAGATGATCGGGACAATCGACATCAATCAGCTCCCCTTTCGCAGGGCTTGCAACAGCATGAAGGTCTCCGTACATCACAGCCAGGTGCAGGATGGTTTGGCCGCGGTGATCCTTCTGGTTGATTTTGGCCCGACGATCACGCAAGAGGATTTTCAAAATCTCATACTGTTGGTATTCCAAAGCCACCAGGAGTGGCTGCTGGACTTTTTGATCTTGACTTTAGAACTCAATATCTTTCTGACGGAGCAGCTGTCGTACGATTGAAACACTGCCTTGCGTGATAGCCATCGACAGCGCAGTCTGACCGTAAGCATTGCATTGAGAGGCACGAAGATTATCATACTCCAACAGAAGATCCACTGCCGCGTGATCCCCCGCTTGCACGGCAAGCATCAAGGGCGTGTGTCTTCCATGTATCGTGCTGATTTCCGTCGTGCACGTGCAGAGGTACTTTTGGAGCGCATCGGGCTGAGAATTGTTGCTCCAGTGGAGGGTTAGGGTAGGATAAAGCGAGTGACATGGTGGTGGTGAAGATAGATGTATTGGACGAGATATGAGGGGTGATGTGTAATTATGTTGAGAAACGTGAAACGAAGGCCTTGGGAGTTTCATTTTATATGCTAGCAAAATGATCAACCCCTAGTCGAGTAATTAGAGTCCATAGACTCGTCTTTTGTTCATAGCATTTCTGAGTTCAAATGCCGCACAGACAAATGCAGATCGTGAATGTTGCTTCACAGTATTTGTTTCCAGAGTTTGACATGCGCATTTCTTCGCTGATGCTCCTTAAAAAAATTTATCATGATGGGAAGACTTGGTAGCTAAAACCGTGAAATAAGTCGATGTTAAAAAGCAAAGTCTTATCCTAGAATCTGGTCATTTGTTCCTGGGACAATTTATGGCTTCATCTAGGATCAAGGGCTCTAGCCCCAGAGGCCAGGTACTATCTTCTGCGGGCGATTCTTTCATTTGACTTTCGCTGAGGTACTGTACTAGTAGAATCCCATTTTCGCGTGCTGAGTCACGAAGCTATAATTGACTGGGATTGAAGAAGACACAGAATATGTTGTCTCGTTTACATAGCCATTTCACAAACAGCCGGCTTGACGGAATGTTCATGTAACGGGTTATTAATTGATAACAGGTAAATATGCCTCATATGTCTCAATACATGACTGTTCGAATTTCTATCTCAATCCTGTAGAACCTCACACATTACTCATTATAGCCCATCTCCTTGGGTCTACTTACTGAGGTACGCGCGGACCGACTTCCCTCCAAAACCGACATCGTTCACCCCGTCCCCCTTCCCAGAAATTTGCATTGGCTAGGCGGAGGTGATTGACGACCCCCGGATCTTCACGAAGCCAATAAGCGAGATGTCCAGTGACATTTCTGTACAATAAGCTCCCTCCGGTTGTATTCAAGTCCATCATCATTGGGGAAGAAGAGTTCCACATCGGCCAAAGGATACGTCCATCGGTATTTTCAGGCACGATGGCGTCACTTGCATTGCCCTTGGCGTCCTGAATAGAGATCACTGGAGAGTCTTTGATAATGAAGCTTCCCAACATTTTCTGGAAAGCATGCCTTATGCCTTTTGTTGGTGTTGCTGTATCTACAGAGAAATAAGCTGTTAAGTCTGCACCGTGATATGCCGGAGTGACCGAGTACTGGTACTTCCAACTCTCTTTTGCGTTATTCCCGGAAAAAGCATCCACCAACCAGTAAGAAGGACAGACAAAGGATGTTTCAGCAAAAATGTTGAACACCGTCTGCTGGTAGCCGGTCGCAAACTCGGACTGATTCACCGCGGTGAGCCCACGGTCGCCAAGAGTGTCGTAGAGAGGACCAAACGGATCGGAAGAGGACGATGCGAACCCATAAATCTTCAATAAATGAGTTACGTCTGAGGCAATGAAACGCGGAAACGTGTCTTTCACATAGGCCTTGAAATCCGCAGTGGTCTCCACATACGGAAGACTCAGGGGAATACCGTCATTGGCATTATTCTGCGAGAAGTCAGCAACTTATAAATTGCTTGAGGCTCTCCCTACACGACATGAGTAGTGACTTACACCGGACAGAACGCGTTTGCCGCTGACTTGCTTTTCGAGAAGCTGCTTTGATGGAAGGTCTCGAATGAAATGTCCATCAATAACAGGCAAGAAAGCAAAGGTTCCCCAGGCCCCCGAGGCCGAGACAGCCCCGCTGGCATTTTGTAAGGTGTTGGTGTCGGCGTTCCTCAAGCACGCAAATGTCTGCGCGTCAGCTCTTTTGTCGCCAGCAAGGCAGCCTGCTCGTCTTGCAAATGCTCGATAATATTTTGTCGGCACTTCGTCGTCATACCGATACTGAGTCGCAATGTAGGGGCTTGATGCGATGATCTTATTAAGTCAGAATTAGTTGGTCGATGTGAGATGTAGCTCAAGATACCACTGACATTGTTGAATAAATGGTCTTCTCGGCCACCATAAGCCATTGCTTGGAGAATTGCTGCGCCTGCCCCAGCTGACTCGCCGCCTATCGTGACCCGAAGTGGATCTCCACCAAATTGAGAGATGTGTGCCTGCACCCATTCAAGAGCGAGACGCATGTCCAGTAGGCCAACGTTTGTTTGACCGTATTCTGCCACATCTGCAGAAGAAAGGAAACCAAATGCGCCCAACCGATATTGAATCATGACTGAAATAAATCCATCGTCATTAGTGTTGATCCATCCACTTGGGTCGTGAACCGCCCCAGATAGACCATAGCCCCCACCATCTGTTTCACATTTTAGTCCGGTTGGGTTGGATGTTATAATCACGATGAATATGGGGAGGGGAATTAACTTACGAATCCAGACAAGAACGGGGAGATCCCGCGCACTTGGTGACGCGAAGACGTTCAGGTATAAGCAATCCTCGTCACCTAAGTCGGAATTAAATCCATAGACTTTAGGAAGCTGAGCGGCGCCTGATTGAGGACAAAGTGGCGGCTGATGAGTTGCACGAATGATAGTGGTCCGGTTGATAACAGGAGGCTGCGGAGCTTGCCATCGCATTCGTCCTACCGGAGGGGTCGCATATCGAATTCTGGCAACGAGCAGGGATGGGTCAGTGTTCTGTGGAATTCTTGAGATAAGCGTAATCAGCCACCTACCCCAAAAAAACATTCAGTCTCGACGTGCTGTTGTAATATCCTTGATATTGTGCGTACCCTAAATCAACCACAGGATTGTCTGCTTGTAGATGTGCTCCCAAGCAAGCCGTGGTACATATCAAAATCGTAAAAAGAGTGCTGCGGGGAGAAATGAATAAATTCATGCCGAAATTGTGCTGCCAATGACCCAAAAATAAGCAACAAAGATGCCAAAGAGAAACGTGCAAATTCAGAGGTAAAACTTCTGGGTGTTGCCGCTTTTATCTGACGCTGTGTGCCAAAAAACAGATTCGCCATTTTGCAACGCTGTCAACGTAGTACAAACATTCTCACCTATTTACGCAAAGCTCACTTTTGGTGAGAAAAAGTGTGATATGACTAGCGACCCAGGTCTAGGTGTTGACGTTGAAGCTCTTTGCTGAGATTAACTTTGTGTTGAGGTCAAATTGACGTTGAGGTTGAACCGCGCATGCTGCCTCAAAAAATCTACGCAAAAAAATTTACGGCAGAGATGGAGTTGATAAACGAAGACGGATGTCAAGTCTTCGTCTCTGCACTTGTGTATAAGAAGTTCACTTCCCTCATCGATAGAAGCTTTTCTTTACCCAGATGACCTGATGTTCCAAGTTTAATTCATTGGAAGTGCACGCCTGGAAATATGAGCGCCAGTAAGCAGAACCGCAGACCCCCTACCATATGGGTTAGTGAAGCACCGCCCCTTCAAGCTGATTCAAAGTCTTGTACAACTGTCTCTGAGACATGTACGGTGAATCAAGCTTTCCCGAAACCTTTGAGAACCAAGGAGAAGACTGTAACGCTTGATACCGATAATTGTCGCTCGAGTTCGGGAGCCTTGCATGAAGATCCATGGAGAATGTTTGAGCCCATTGCAACTATCAAATTGGATCATCCATATGTGCTGGCTCGATACAAGGAAAACAAAGGCAGACTTGTCCAAGTTCGGAAAGTGGAGCTGCAAGCATTCTCCGACCTTGGATTACAACGGACGCTGAATCGCATCTCTCACCCCGTTTTTCGGTCCTTACTTGGATGCTATTATCATGGTGATTCGGTGTTTTTGGTCTGGGAGCATGTGGAACTGTCCGTCGCTTATATTCTGGCATCGATGCTCGTGATCACAGCGAGTGAGATCGTTGCAATTGTCAAGCCAGTAAGTGGAGATAACATGTTGTATCACAGCCATAGCGATCGCTGATTATGAATAGAACTCGAAGGAATCCAATATTTGGCTGAACGCGGGAGGGTGCTCGCCACTTTGACAATGAATACCATTTATTTCACTCAGTCGGGCATGGTCAAGATAGGTACGCATACCAGATTGACCCCAGGGTTCAGTCTTTAAACTAATCGTTTATTTTACCAGTTGGTGTCGAAGACAGCTGCGAGATAGATGCTCCAGAAATGAATGCTGCGACAATGAAGCAGTCCGCTTTAGCGGATATTGTAATCAAGCTGATGGGAAAATGCCATCCGACGCATGAGTGGCCTGTCGAGATTGAAAATCTACCTGAACAGCTTGAAACATGCTCTTTGGAAAAGATCTTGCAGGTGAGTTCCCCCCCCCCCCCCCCCCCCTTTCTTCAGCGTATCAAGGCTGATGTCCCAGACAACCCTCTTTCAGCAAAAGCTACACCCAGAAGAGTTGAAGTTGCTTGTCAATTTGACGAATAAAATCGTGCATCATCGAATCGAACCCCATTCTCATCGCGAATGAGAATATCATTTCCAATTCAACCCAGTCAACATGTCGATGAAAGGCAGATTGTTCCATGCAAAAGATGAGGAGCATGTATGGTTGCTAAGTAAGGACGGCAATGCCTATCGTAGTTGGTCCATCTGCCTTTCGATTTCTCTAGCGACAAGCTGCGTGCATTGCAATCATAATACAATTATTGAAAAGTTTCCAGTTCTGTTTCGGTTTCTAAGTAGCACGAGAGGATCAAACTTCCGACAATTGACGTAAAAGTCCAACTCTCAGTCCCTAGTCTACACAAAAGTCTGAAACTGTAATTGGTACGCCACGACACTTGAGAAGTCACTGTTAGTGGAAACGAAGTCTGGGGTATTAATTTTTCTAGTCGTAAGACAAGCTCAATCATAGAGCACATCTAATCAACGCGTCATCGTGTTCATACAAGTCTGAACGCTACACATTACTTTTTATTTGCAAGAACATTTGACGAGCATTTGGCCCTATTGTGAAGTTTCGAAGATAGACTAGTCATTCTGACGAATCCTGTCTGTTTTAGTTTGCAAATGGCTTTCAATATCAATCCAATCTTGACCTTTTGATGTAAGCACTTCAGCTCTTCTATCTTCATCTTAGGTTTCGCAGAGTGCATGGACTCTTTTGTGGCTGGTTTATTCTACTAAATCTGTTGCATCTTTTTAAATGAATTCTTGTCACCAAATTACCATTGCCAAAAGGCAGTTGTAATGCAGCAGAATATCGGACACAAAATTTGACACTTTCAAAGAATCGCAAAAAGACGGTGATTCACCGAACATTCACGAACATTCCAACACGAAGATCCAGCGATGCTCTGCTCAGTCGATGACCTCCATGTGACACCACCTTATACGGTCTGACTGTGCCGCAATTGCCAAAGATAGGTATCATTGATGGCTTGCATTGCGGTGGGAAGCACGACAGGAGCAAGGTGACGGCTGAATTTTAACGGAAGAAGTGAGCGGGAAGTATGCAAAAGCCTTCCCAAGATTGCCATTTTGAAGATCAGGAACGATCGGGTTCATAGCTGCCGAATCACCAAATTCAGGACTTCCGGTGCATACTGATTGACCGTCGGGAAGAATATTACGCGCCAGACCATTGCGTTCAACAATCCTCCCGGGCTGAGGGAATCGGATATCCAAATTTTCAGGAGTCATACAGCCATTTATGTTTGCGATGAACATAGGTGGAAAATCCTGCGCTTGGTTCTGTATGCTCTGGTTGTATGAAGTCAATGAAGGGTTGTCGACGGTGATTGGTGCACAGTTCATGTACATCTCACGATCTCCAATACGATTGAACCATGTCCAGGCCAAGGTATATTTTCCGGAGGCAATGTTTTCAGGAATCGCGAAATCGAGTCGAATGTCATTGTCGGAACTGGCGTCTCCGCTTAGAAGTCCTTCTACATTTGCAGGACAGCCGCCTTCATAAGACTTGATGACCTTCCATATGCTTTCTTTGGATGGCGCGAGGTCTTCAGTGAGGCTCAACTGGCATGATCCGCCCCCATGAGTTGCACTTCCCATGAACCTCATTATGTTTGAAACACCGACCTCGTAAACAGTCTCTTTCGCAGGGGCCACAAATGCATCATCTCGTAATTTGCAGGGAAAATCACTGCCGTTTGAAGCAAGAGGCGAGTTGTTGAGGATTTTATTGCTGTAACTGTACGGCTCAGGCGACATCATGATCAGATGTCCGCTGACTACCCGTGAGACGAGCGTCTCTAGCAGAAGACAGTATTCTATGCGCATTGTAAGGGTAGATAGTCGAGACGTCGTTTGTTATGGTCGAAGGATCTTCGAATGCCACGTGATGGATAATATCTCATGAAAATTTATAAGAGCTTAGCGGTAGCGATTGATTGAAAATAGTAGATATGCCGCAAGACATCACACCATTTATGTATGAGAAATCGTGAATGAAAGTTGATGCGATTCAAAATTTGTTGCTCGAGGCTCTTGTTTTCATTCACTACGACTTGAAACCGCTGACGACTGTTTATTTGAGATCAGCATTGATTGAGAGACCAAAATATTGACTGTTGAATCGAGTAATCTTGTTGGTCGATCGTTGATGAGCAAGCCTATCACGATAAAGGAGGTTTTGAGTTGATACAGGGCGTCACAATTCAAAGACACATTCTCAGCCATTGAACATGAATTTTTTTTGAATATGACTTCTGATTCAGTTGTAAGTATCCAGCTCACCATTTGCATGAAACAAAAAAAAACCAAGCATAAATCATGACTCTCACTTTAGAGAGCTGGTCACTTTGAAAAGACTGGATGGATTGCCTTTCTTTTGCCGATCCAAAAAAGCGTACAGGAGCGTGCACTATATTTCTCAAAGTCTCAACCATACGCTGTTGGGGGTTACTCAAATGCCTTGGGCAAAGCTAGCTTACAAAAGTCCATTGTTAGGAAATACACAAGTATTATAGAAGCGTTCTGTGCCGCAAGCTCTCAACGCTGCCTTGCCGTTTCTGGGGATCCCCTCCGGAAACGACAGGGGAAGCCAAGAGACATTTTCTCAGTGAAGTCAGAATTAAGGTGAAAGGACTGGAAAGGGCCGAAACATGTATGTTCCAGGAGGTCACATGGAATCCAATAATGCTGTATGAGACTTGATTTGGTTTGGTTGTAAATAGCTATTATCTACGGGTACGACTTCATGTGAAAGATACAGGTAGCGATTGCAGATGTAGATGACAACCAGCAATCTAACTTTGTGGAATTTCTAGGTGCTTGATGCCCATAAAAAGTAGCTAAAATCGAAGCTTTGAAGTCTGTAAGAGAGTTTCCTGTACTTTACACAGAGTAATGTAACGCAGTCGTAATGTAACATACAGAAGTGACTATGAAAGCGGTCTGTATGGCGGCTTTGAGGGCGGTCTTCCAGGAGGCAAGATCAAAGCGGTCCCCGAAGCGGCCATCGAGGCGGTCTTGTAGGCGGTCCCCGGTTCTTACAAACAGGGGAGCGGTCCCAAGAGCGGTCCCGAGAGCGGTTTCAAAAGCGGTTTCAAGAGCGGCATAAAAAGCGGCATAAAAAGCGGCAAAGTCGTCTCAGTGGCCGCCCATTCAAAAAATCAGCGCTGGTGGGAAGGACCAATGTTGAGAGGCCTCGGGAGTTTTGTAACATATGAATGATGGGGAGCGGTACAGTATACTTGACTGAACTGCATTCCTCGCCAAATTACTGTACCGATTTCAAGAATGTCTATGTACTATCAAACTCGCTATGAATGTCATCGGATCATTGTCTCACATTCCAAAGGTTCATTGAACTTTTGTTGTAGATCAGAGGTATGGATTCCTTATCTTCTACTCAGAGAAACATGAGGCTTTAAATACAACAAGAAGACTAAATTGATTGGAAATCACCTTGGTTCTTTGCATAGGCTTTGCGGATTTAGTTCCGATGGTTTGGCTTGGCTTCTTATCTGCACCTGCGGCCTGCCTCATATTACAACACCTTTTCGTGATATCTTATCAAAGGCTTCGATGTGGTCTTCTGCCCGTTGCAAGATAAATCCTTCTGATAGTCACTTTGGTCAGTCCAAGAAGATTCGAAGTTGTCACCCTGGTAGGTGAGGAAATAGTAATTGATGTTATTGGTTCATTCAGCCTTTCTCGGCCTGGTAGCCATTTCCGTTATCAGCCACTTGATTTTTAGACTAGCGGCTGCCTCCGCACTTGTATTTCAGATGTCAAGACCACAAAATATCGATACACTGACTCATCCAAGCATTAGCGCACATCGATTGTCAATTGTATTGGCTGCTGTTTATCCATGTTATTCCACAGATTGGTATTGATATTCTGTGGCATGCAGTACCCTACATAAGCTTTGTAGTTTTGGTGACGATATGTTTGTTTTCAGCCCTTGGCTGACGTCGTCGCTTTCATCAAAATCTTTACCCAGCACATCGGAAAGACCAGATGAGTAGACTAGCATTCATCTGTAATTCTCATCCAGCCTTTCCCCAATACTCGAGGCAGCCACACATTGTTCCCGAAGGCATAGGGCTAGAGCAATCCCAAGGCATCTCTATTCTTCCAGTGAATGGCTTTCGCTCGGCACTGCACGTAATCCACATCAGTTTGTCATAGTCGAGGCAGCGACTACCGCTGTCGTCTTTCAGGACCAAAAACCAGATAGCCTCGAGCCAAAGCGTGTTTCATATATGAATGTGTGAAAGCTCGGTATAATCAACGACTGGGCAATCAAAAACATCATCTCTGCCAGATCTGCTTCATTCGATAGCGGCTCCATCGAAGAAAAGAAAACATATCTGCAGTTGAGACTTGCCAAGGAACTTCTTTCAAGAAATCATTATCAATGCTGACAAAATGAGAGGGATATTCGCATTTGTAGAACTGAAAATGCATGAGCTGCAGTGAGAGGAGCGCACGGAGCGACTGACAGCAATATGCCCAACAGCACTTTTATCCAAAGATGAAAACCTTTCTCAGATAGAGGGGGAATTCTTCGTGCGCAAACAAAAGTTCCCTGTGTCCTGGATTTATTAGCTCAGCTCAATTGTCTTTCAATGGATACTTACGATATTGGAATGTTCTTCGGGACTAAATGTCATTCGAATACATTTTTCCTTCAATCGACACAGGGAAAGCTCGCTTTATTGGTTCCTTCCAAATGTTTTTCATAACGGCCACGAACTTGAGACGAACTCCGGAGGCAGATCAACGTCACCTAGTGTCCCGTGGGGAATTGCCTCTTCCGGTATACTTTCCCTTGGGTATTGCACCTGTCTCGTCAGTCAATTGTTGGCAATTCTGCTTCAAAGTCAGTAGAGCCGTATCGAAGGGCCTCAAGGCACACCCTCGCCATTTCATAGGCGTGTTTCCCTCCAAGATGCTTTCCTTTCCAATTGGTCGTGTCAAAAGGCACTGGCAATGTCGATGTATAGATCGCGGTTTGGATAACTGTCACGTGCTGAATCTGGCCCCCAAATTTGG